CCTTCTCCATATTGGGCTTGCCACAATCTTCATTCAAGTAATAGAGTTGTGCTGATATTTTTATGTGGGATTGCAGGCAGCAGTGTCTTAATCAAAAGTTAATTCAGTGCTGCAGCAGACAGGTGTGCTGCTGTTGGGCCTTTCCAAGTGGCAGGATTTGAAGAAGGAGAGCAGTGCATTTCCCTGTTGCTGCTACCTTCTTCAGCACTGGGGGTTTTAAGTGAAAAGACAGTGTGCTATTTATGTCTTCCTGGACGTGCATACCCTACTTGCAAATTGTGTTTTTTTTGTCTTGCCATCTTGCTCCTGAGCTGTATTGTTATGGTAGTGTTGTGGTTTAGCCCCAGTCAGCAACTAAGTGCCAAGTGGCAGCTCACTCACTCCGCCCCCCTGCTGGGATGAGGAGGAGAGTTGGAAGGAAAAGGTAAAATTCGTGGGTTGGGATAAAGAGAGTTCAATAGGACAGCAAAGGAAGGGAAAAAATAATTATAATAGTATTAATAAAAGAATATACAAAGCGTGTGATGCACAATGCAATCACTCACCACCCGAAACCCGATGCTCAGCCTGTCCTGAGCAGGGATCCCAGCCAACTCCCCTGGTTATATACTGAGCATGATGTCCTATGACATTAAATATCCCATTTGGCTAGTTTGGGTCAGCTGTCCTGACTGTGTCCTCTCCCAGCCTCTTGTGAAAATTAACTCTGTCCCAGCTGAAACCAGGACAGGTGGAGTTGGGGAAGTTTTGTCCTAATCCCTCCTCCTCTTTAACTCCCAGTTTTGGTATGCCGGCTGGGGGGTTACCCAGATGTCCAAGTCAGTTTGTGCTGACCTGTGCTTTGTCGATTTACTTTTCAAATACTGGTTAAGCTAATGCAGTAAATCGTATTTCAGCTTTCTTGTCATGTATGAAAAATTTTGTCATTCATTCCTAGAGCTTGGCCCTAGTTTCTTCAGGGGGACATATCTGAGCTGTGTAGGTAATACCTCCACGCAGAAGGAGAAGCTGTGCTGCCTAAGATGTTGGCTCTTGGTACTTAACAGGCTCCACTCTGAATCCTTATTCGACTTTCAGCAAAGCATGCAAATCTGTGCCCTTCATTCTCTACAAGCTCGTTAATAATGTGAACTGGACACAGGCGTGAAGGAAAAGTCCATCTCGGAACAGATCCCTGCTGGGAAAGCCAGGCTGTGAGCAGCTCTGCATTTAACAAAGCTAATGGAAATTTCCAGGGAGGGCTTAGAGAGCTTAGTGACGGCCATAAAAAGGAAGAAAATAAGAACTTGACTAAGTGGACTTCACTGTCCATGACTGACGCAGTGTGGAGAATTGCAGTTTTTCACTTTGAAGCCCTGGGCAACAAATGTCCTCCTTACTGCATCCACATCCAAGTGGCAACATGCTCCATGCTACACAGAGCTTCTGCCTTATGCCTTGGAAAATGTAAAGTGCTTCCAGCATTTCCATGTCTAGAGTTTGATGGAGCAAAAGTTAAAGGCTTACATTACCTGAAAAATATTCATTTCTCCAGTGTAAGCTCTGCTTCTGTGAAATGAATAGTCAGGCCTTGATTTGCAAATCTCCTGGGAAACGTACTCTGAAAGGCTTGCATTTACAAAATTCAAGCAATATTTTGCAATGGGAGTTACAAGACCTTTAGGCTTTCTGAAAAGGGAGATTGCACTGTTTTACATAGGCGTGGTTAAACCAATGCAAATTTTTAAGCTTAATTGAAAATCTGATGTAAACCAAGGTAGTTGTGGTTATCACACACATCTTGTTGTGTACTTAAGTTGGTTTAAGGTGCGATTATGTGATGAAGTTTCTAATGTAGTCATGATCTGAAAACTGGCACTTAACCCATACAATAGGAGAATTTCTTTGATGAAATCTCTGCTTATTAAGAAGGTAAGTGATGATCTGTGTATAAAAGATAGTGCCTAACCTGTTCCTTCTGTTAAGTTCAGATATTTGCGTTCCTCACTGTACCTTGGTGCAGGCTGAAACATCTCTTCTGTAGCCTCGATCAGTTACCTGAAGGCTGGAAGACCTAATGGGGAGAAAACAGGGTATTGCTGTTAGGACTGTGGAGAGGCATATGTGGGTTTACAGGTCAGAGAGATGCGGATACATGCAAAAGAGAACAAAGATCATGCTGAGGACTTTATCGCTTGAAGTCTTTTGCAAGAGGTGGATTTGGGAGAGAGTAAGTTGGTTAGCTGGGCAAGGGAAGAGTCTGCTGAAAGGTAACAGTGAGGATGCTTGTTGCTGCGGTAGGGAGTGCCAGTTGTTTATTCTGAGCTGCTTTTTTGGCCCTGCAGGGAGACGCGCTCAGGTAGACTAAAAAACCAGGTTAAAGTGGTGCTGAGGATGTTGAACTTTCATTGTGGCCAAGTCTAGTGACCTTGGCTTAAGCCTGTTCATCAGTGTTTCCACAATCAGCAACGGGAGCTGTGGCACCGTCTGCTACAGGTCCTCCTTCTGGGAAAGGAAAGCAAAGTCCTCGATTCTCTGACAGTAAATGAGTAGCTAATAGGATCCTGGCAATGAAACTCAGTTGGTAAATGGCAGCATTTAAAACCAATGTGCAAAGTCATATATTAAATGGAATGGCTATTGATTTCACTGTCCAGGGAAAGGTGACAATTGATGGCATGGAGTTAGAATGGGCTTTGCTGTCCAACAACCTGACTGTACAGTAGTGAGTCTCTGCAGACTAGGTAGAAGCAGCGATGGGAGTTTTTAACCTGATATGCTGCATGTCACCTTGGTACCATGATACTTTTGTAGAAGTGAGGTGAATCAGGCTCAGGAGTGTGTGTGTGTGTGTGCAGGAGCAGAGCCTTCTGTGTAGTACAGAACACAGTGTTTGGGGGAAGAGGGGAAACACAGTATTCCCAACTCAAATTTCGGCCTAAGGAAAGCTTTGCAGTCTTCTGTTTTCTTGTCTTGGGAGCTGGCAAGCTGGCAAAGACAAGTAGGGCACACAGAGCACCTTGGCGAGGAATACCAGTCTTGTAGGTGGCTGTGGGGACCATGCCTGTATTTTGGAAAGCATTAAGAAGTGTGGAAGGAGGGGGGAGAAGAGCATGGGTCAGTTTAGCTCTGTTGTGTAATAGCTGCAAATACCAAGCAAACTAGACTTTTAATGGAAATTTTGTCTACCAGGTCAGAAAGTCTCGCTTGCCTAGGGAGTGTGCTGCTTTGCAGGCAGCGAAGCGTGACAGCTAAGTCTCAGTATATTAGGTAGGGGATGGAGCAGCAAGAAGGACTGGCGTGGTTTTAGTGACAGGTTACCGTCTGTCAGTAGACTCTGAAGTCTATGTAAATCATCATCTCCCTGGCAGCTGCTTTCATGGGGTATAATACAACACAGGGCTAGCTCAGCACAAAAACAAGAAAAAAAAAATGAAGCGGTGACTGATTGCTGTTTGTATTCCTGTGGACTCTATGTGTGGTTTTGTTGACCTGATTTTCTCCAGCTTTTGCCCTTGGTCCTAACCTGGGGTGCTGTCACCTCAACAGCCTAGCCCCACGCCTCCAGCACACACAGCTCTCCTATTGCAGCACGTCTGACCTGCAGGATCCTCTAAGCTCGGGTTCTTGCAGGTTCTGCTGAGACATCTCATTACAGGGACAACAGCATTTATATGTATGTAAAACACCATGATTGTGCCTGAGCCATAACCAGCTACCAGGTGCTTTCCCTGAGTCCTTCCTTCAGATTATGGGACTACCTTCAGCTCCGAGACTGCCTGCGGTGTGATACAAGTCCACCTCTTCTGATGCAATTTCCTTCTGTCTGCACACTACCTTTTTTGGGGGTTGGTTTGTTTTGGATTTTTTTTAATTGTCTTGTGGTGATCACTGCACAGCACTGTTCGCTCTCCACCTAGCACCACACAGTCCAGCAGGCATGTGGTGGTACACAGCACCACTTCAGAACCCCCAGGCCAGCTCACAGGGAGCTGGTGTGTCAGCATGGCATGGCAAAACACTGTACAGAAAGTCTCTTCCATGTTAGTGCAGCCCACAGTGCTTCTGGAGGTGGGACACAGCAGTTGGTGGGAGATCTCCATACTGCCTTGGACTGTACAGTGTGTGCCTGTCCTCTGACATTTCTGTATGGCACAGAGTAAGCTGGTTTCGCTCTTCTCCTCTTCCGGTCTGAGAGCTGTTGGGCTTTAAAGTAGTGGGAGATGCATTACAGTGTTATGGTGATTTAGTTTCTGTTATTGCCTGTAATCTTCAGCAATGATGTGATGATTAGCTATACGTTGTTGACCTTGCCTGTTCCTGTGAAGGGATTAGCCAGCCCTGGCTTTGCTGATCTTTTTGGGAAATGCACCGTGAAATGTTGCCAGAGCGTTGGCTGTTCTGTTAAACTTAGTAGCATTAGCTGTAAAATTCGAGTTTTTGACTTTTTGGACACACACATCCAGTACAAACTCTGATGTGAAAATTTGTTAATGTATCCTCTACATCTTCCCTTGCTCCACAGTGACTGTCAGTGAGAGGGCTGTATAGAGATCTATTTATAGGTAGAATGAGAACGCTTTGTGAAGAAACTAAATGTTGAATAAGAACAGTGTTTTCTTTAGCATTACCTAGTGCCGGAAATGCTGGCAGGTACCACAGAGAGAATTGGCCTTCCCATTCCAATTCTTTGTTTAGCCTGGAGTTAGGGTAAGCTGATTTTATGCACACAGTTGTATGTCTTAATTTCCTGAAAATCTCTCTGCTGTTGCTGTGCTTCAGTGGTAGTATTGAATTGAAATGAGTAGAATATTCCAGAGCAACCTGGGTAATACAGCACTCCGTGTTTGCAAGGCTGTTTATGGTTGTGAGCCATTTTAACAAAAATGTGAACTGAGCTAGATCTGTTGTTTCTGTAGGGCAGAAATCAACACTGTCCTTCATGTTGTGGGGGCATAATGTGTGCTGGCTGGAACAGTGTCCTATCATGCTAATCTTTTTTCCTTCTTTGGTGTTTCAAGGGCCTTAAACTCTGGAGTTGAGTACCACTGGGACCAGCTGAATGAGAACGTCTTCGCTGTGCATTCCAGCAGCAGGAGCACTGAGCGACCTGGGTGAGTCTCCTGGATGTTGGTTAGAGAGACCTGACTCTTTCTGCTGCTTTTGTACATCTGATAATACCAATTCTTCTTTCCCTTAGCACTGGCAGCTTTAAATAAGCAATTTTCCCCCTCTTCAACACTGCCTAGTTGGGTCACCTGGCCTGCTTCCAGCAAGTGGTATTCAGTGCTCAAAAGTGCTGCCAGTGAAGTACATGTGTCATCCATGGCCTCAGTGACATCCGTGAGCAAGCTACAGGAGGAACATGTGGGGCTTGATGTATCAAAAACACCACACCAAGTAAACGGCTTTTGGAGGATAACTGAAGAACGGGGGGGATGGGGATGGGGGGCGCAGAGTTTCACAGGGAGGAGTGCAAATCCATTGGGCAGTCCAAGTGACTGATTTTCATCCCTTTAGTTTCTGGTCACGGGACAGTTGTTGCTGAGCAATAAACTCTAAAAATAAAGTTAAATCCCTTGACAGCCCTATTGGCAGTTTCATCCAGTCTGTCCAGTGATGCACACATTAGTTATTCTAAACACAAGGGTGATGCTGCAGTCCCTTGCTTCTTGCCCCAGTGACAAGTACTTCTCCGTAAGCCAGCTGTTCTCAGCAAGAGGGTAATAGTCTGCTTTCTGAATTGTGAGCTCCAGGATCCTGAGGAAGTCGTGAGCTGGTGCCCAGGGCAGTGTCTGTGCTGTGCTACAGTCTTGGTCTGACTGAGGGTGAAAAATAGGCAGTAGAGATTCTTCACTCTGCCATGTGAGTGGATATTGCCACTACTCACATTTTTGGACAGCACACATCAGTCTTGCATGATGGGCTTAGGAGCAGCTTAAAGGCAGAAATACTGCTGAAGAATGAACTAGCTCAAAGAGAGAGCAAGAAAAGTGTGGCAGATTTCAAAACCTTATGAAAAAAGGTTGTGACTGAGGCAGCCTTTCTTAGAATCTCTTTACCATTCCCAGCACTTAGAGCCAGAGGTCAGTTTTGGAAAGAGCATCCAAACATTGTCAAGATTCAGCTCTTGTAGTGTCATACACTTCAACTGTTCAATTCTGAGAAGCTAATGAGCCTCGAGGTGGTTCCTGTTGTTTGCTTTTGAGAACAGAGAGTTTCTCTTGTTCAACTGGAACAGGCAGAAATGCCTGCTGGAGTGCATTCATGTGTGATGCTGACAAACTAGGAGGTCCGGAGGAGGGAAGGGATACAGGCTGCGTCCTTGGGAGTTAGAACCACCCTGCCGAGGTGCAGAGGGAGGTTGTGTGTGTGTTTATGATCCTGTGCTGCATGTCGTGTTGCCTACTCAACTCGGTGACCTCAAGACAGAGTTGTTCTGCAGGCTAAATGATGATGCAGGGATATCTGTCTGTGCCTCTCAAACATGCTACTTCTGTGGAAGGGTGAGTGGACTATAAGACTCTGTTGGCTTAAAACTCAAGAGACCAGCCAGCCGAGGCTGGAGAGGGGTGTCTGTGTGTGTGTAAATAAATGGAGGTCACAGTTCCCTCCAGCCCCATCTGCATAGTGGCTAGCAGGTGCCTGGTTGGAGTGGAGCCAAGAAGAGGCTCAGGTGGATGTTTCCATCTTGCTAGGGCGCGTTGCCTCCAATGCTCCTGGTCTTATTTGTTTTTCTCTCTTTTCAGAACCAGCAGAGCCACATGGAGGACAGACAGGGACATGGGCCTGATGAATGCCATAGGCCTGCAACCCCGAAATCCCCCCACCTCTGTGACTTCTGGTACAGGAGCAGGAATCCGCCTCTGCAGGGACTGGGGAAGGTAGGAGCTAAAGCAATGATTTATCTGACAGAGCTTACCTGGTGAGTGAGAAGTTTCCACATAAGTTCCACATCCTATCAGTGAATTTGGACATTCCTGTTATCTCTTCAGCAAAGATTTCTCCAGCTTAATTTGCCTGTAGCCAGGCCAAGATGATCGGGAGAGTGAATCTCTGTTTGTATGAATAGAGAAGTTGTCTTTTTCACATGCTTTCAGAGGACAAAATGAGCTCTTCTCCAGATCATTGTGTCTTTGTAGAATCAACTGTACTGGCATCACTCCTCACAAATCTCCTGAACTCTAACCATCAGTAAGGCTGCAAACTGTTAAGAATTATCCTTTCTGCCTCTGTGTTAGAGTTTAGCTTGGTCCTTCAGTCTCTGCATCTAAAACCCGTGCGGGTGTCACAAGCTCAGCATCTGGATACAAAATAAAATACTGTACATCACTTTTCACAGAGCAGGTATGAGTATTCTGTTTAGTCTGGTTGATGAAGGCTGTAAGGAGTGTCCAGCTCAGCTATTCAAAAATGTCTCTAGTGTTTTCCAGTCCGGGAAAGCTTACCAACATGTAAAGAGCTGGAAGCAGCTGATGTGCAATTCCTGTATGGTGGTAAAGTCACTGATCTTTTGAAAGCATGATGACTTTGGCCAGGCTTCTTGTCTCTGTACTGTAGCATTGTGTTTGAATCCAACTCTGAAGGCTTGGCTAGGAAGGAGTTGGGCAGTATATATACAGGAAAGACAGAGAAAATCAAGGAGACGGTTTTGAAGTTGTTGGTTCCTGATGAGCCCACTTGGCTTTGGGAAGCAACCCATGACATGCATGTTTGTGCCTATGTGCTTACTTGTGCTCTGTCACTCTGAAAGATGCTTTTTGGCATGTGACTTTTCCACAGTTTCTGCTGTGCAGCATCCAGCATGTGCGATAATGCTTTGCATTTCTCTGATCTCGGCTCTTCTGTTGAAAGCTAAGTGGCAAATTCCTGACCTGTGTAGTTTCCTGTCTGCTTATTTCAGCGGAGCTGAGATTAACCTCTCTGGAAGGTTAGTATAGTTGAGGGCGTGTGAAGAAGGCTGGAACATAGGACGTCTGGACAATTGCTGAACTTGTGGGAACTGGTTCTTCCACTGGATGTGGTGTGCAGACTGAGAACAGGGTACAGCATGGAACCTTCTTGCATCAAGGCTGTGATGGCTGATGCTGTAGGCTCGGGGGTCTTTCTCTGCTCTGCTAAACCAGTGGAGTTCTCCAGTGCTGCTTCTCTCTGCTGCTGTTCTGCAATCGTCTGAAAGTTTCGTTGTCTCGTTCTTTCTAATTAACCTTTCAATTTTCAGATCCAGATCATGGTTTTTAATGATGAGATGGGGAAGTGTTGTGCTTTACCAGTGCCTTGGGCAGGGTGTTTCTACAAAGAAGCAAAACATGTAGTGTTTAGAAGAAAAAGTGTGTAGATAACAAGCCTAGGACAGAGACTTCTTTTTGTCTCCCTTTCTTGCGTGAAAGAAGACTGGCAGGTTCCATATCTGGTGTGATTTCTGGCTCAGATGCTGACTTACTGCCTGTGCCCTTGCAAGTGGCCTTGCCTGCAAAATGGGCTGTCACACTCCTGTCACCTATATAAGGATCTTTAGAACAAAGGAGGTATTCCAGTACAGACGCATGCACAGGAGATGAGCCAGGCAGTCTTCTCCTGTAGTTGATCAATTCTTGTGCCGGTTGCATCCTCAGTGTAAATTCCTCTGTGAAGGCTCAAGAGCAGCTCGAAACTGGGAGCTGTCAAGACATTAACTATCAGGAGTGTGTAGGATCCAAAGAAACAACTGTAATCCATAATAGAGGAATAGTACAAGGACCTATCATGAAGCAGACAGGCAAATTTTCAGCTGCTCTTACCAACACCACAACCAGTTAGCCAGGGACTTGTGGCATGAGTGGTCTGGTTTATTCAAGAGTCTTTGTGCTTTGCATTACGCCTAAGCCCCATTGTGCTGCTTGTGACGTTAGTGTTACTGTTTTCCCAGCATCATAAAGTCTTGTGGTGCTCGTCTAGTGTGTTTAAGCAGGCTAGATTAGATGCTGCGCTGCTTTTCTGGTGGTTAATTTGCCCACTGTATCTACCGTGTTTCTTTGCGTTGAAAGGGAAACAGTGTTTCCTAATGGCAGGATCTGAATGTCAGGGACACAAAGGAGAAAAAATATGAAAAAAAAATGTGCTATCACTAACTTGGTGTGTGACCTAGGGCAAATTATTAATCATCTACCAAATGGGAATAAATCTTCCCATAGTACAGTACACCAGGGGCTGTGAAGATTAATTAGTGTTTTGTATGGGGCTTTGAAGATGTAAATCACTCCGTAAAGGCTTAGCAATATTATCTGCAGCAGAATGGTTAAATCAGATGTGATTCTGAGTAAAGTGTTTTAGTTACCACCTCATCATGAGGGGAAAAAAACCTAAACCAAAACAAACAGGAACACCCCCATGAATGTTTCAAAAACAAAAAGAAAGGTTAGTGCTACCCCTCAGAGTGGGTTTCTGTCCTGTGTCCTGTCAGCCCTGCTGTTGTGGGGAATTCTGGCTCAGGGCATTTCTTGCAGATATGTGCTTACTGTACAAAAAAAAAAGGTATGCAGAATTGCATCAGAAATCTAATTAAGCTGTGTGTGGGTATAAATAGTTTCCTTTTCTCATGCAAAGCTCTGCGGGGACTTTGCTGTTCTGATTATCTTTCTGCCTCCTTTGGAGGAATGAGTATATGATGACTTTATTAGAATTGAATCCCTCAAATATCTGTATCTTTTTGTTTTGCAGCAGTTGATAGCTGCCTTGTGAACTCTGCTCCCAAGCCACATATAAACCAAAGGAAGTTCGAGTTGAGAGAAAACTAGGAGAGGTACCACAAAATGCCTTAAACAGTGTTTCAGCTGTCTCCTACTTTCTGTTAAGCTGATAGACATAGTGGAGATGGTGATGGAGTTTTAACTTTAAGGCACTCTTAGAAGCAATCTGTTGGGAGTTGTGCTATGCTTTCCCTTGTAAATGCACAGGCACGGTGAGGGAAGGATCTGTATTCAATTGGCAAATTAAATCTCACCTAAAAGCCAACGAAAATTCCTCATGAGACTTAATGGCCCAAAGCTTTAACCTTTAGAAATTGTAATTCCCAGTCCAGACTGGGTCAGGCTCTGGCTGCCACTTGTTCAGGCTGCTGGATCTGTGGAGCAGGGTGCAAGAGGCAGTCACTGTCGGGGGCTGCAACTGTGCAGAAGGTGCTGCAGGCTGAGGGAAAGGGACCTTTGCAGAGCTACAAGGCACTTGTTTGATTGTGCGCCTGCGCTGTCCCTGGGCTATTGACAGTAGATCAATACATCTTTCAGGTAATCCAGTTGCTTAAAAAGAAAAAAAGTAACCCATGTTCAAAAAGACCTTGATGGAAATAACTGAAAGGCTATTGTCATCTCAGTTCCTATCATCTGCATTGTCTCTGGGGCTTAAAATTCAGATAGTTAGCTCAGTGCTCAAGTAGGCACATGTTATGAACTAGTGAAATTGTAGCAGTCAGAAGATGTGCTGTCAGTGGATTGCTACTTTGCCTGTCTTTGTGGGAGCAACGTATTGACTCCGTCATGCCGTATACAGTTCTTAATTGGTTGAAGTGTTTCTCACCAGCCAGTGCAAATTTCCATCATGTCCAACTGCTTTCAGAGGTTGCAGCAGATACTTTAGAGAGGGGAGAGCGTTGTAAAATGAAGGCTTAGGTTTGTGGGATTCAGTCTGTTCAAACTGTTGGTAGTGAAAAGACAGGCATGCAAGTGGTATAAGCAAAGCATCCTGAGGATGCCTAAAGAGCACTTATAAGCAGAGTCAGCGTGCCAGCATGTGGTACAGCTTACTTAATTTGAGACATTAGGAACATGTGTCAGGGGCAGGAATACCCTGTCATCAGCCAAGCCTCATGGATGTGAAAAAGAAACGTTGTTTTACATTAGCTGAACGTGTTCTTGCAATGCTATTGTCAGATGTGATGTGACTTTTGTGCGATTAGTGTGGAAATGGGAACCAGGACACCAGGGATCAGCTTCCAGATCTGCCTCCCGTTCTTCAAGTAGAAACGTGGGTAGATCCCTTATCCTTTCATCTGCCTGTCCATCTGTAAAATGTGCGTCATATGTCCTGTAGAACTGGAAATTTCTGTTTTTCTTTAAAGCCTTCTGAAAAGCACTACGTAAAAAATAGAATCAGGTTCTAGAAGTGTGTACTATGCAAGCCTTTACAGTGTGAGATGCTCCAGGTACTGAAGTACCTGCTTTTTTTGGGATTAAATTGTGGCAGCTACTTTTAAAGTCTCATTACAAATACAAGTTTAGCTCAGAGAAATCACCAAGGTGAGATATTGCTAAGGAATTTGTTACAAGTCAAAGCAGTTGTGTCGTTTCTGAGTTCTGTGGAGTTGCTTGGGTTAGCTACCTCAGAAAGGAAGTGTGAATGTGCTTCTGAACTTGGTTGGGGAGAAAAGAAACCGGTAGTATTTCTTCTGGCACTAAGGGAGATGTGATTATTCATAGCTGGTTATGCTGCACTGTGACCCTCCCTTTCCTATTCTTACAAAAGGAGTGAATTAATTTAAAAATGCTGATATTTTTATCTTTGAGCATCTGAATTAGTGGGTCAGCTCACACCTCAGAGCTATTATTCCATGTTCTCTGAAGACTTAGATATCTCTGCAGTGCTTACTTGTAGTTCTAATTTTAAAGCTTTGTTTGCAAGCATGGCTGCTACTACTGGTTTTAGAAAGAGGAAAGCTGAAAAGAGGAAAAAAAACAAGAGATATGTCAGTGTATCACACAGCCACAGAAGAGCCTGGTCTCATCCTTATTTCTATGGGCTTTCCTCTTTATCAGCTGTATGCTGTCCATGCCCAGCGATAAACAAGTTGTACTTCCCATGAGTACTTCAGAGACCACTTCATTTAAGAGTGGAGATGCTCCTGCCTTATGTCCAGCTCCACTGAAAGTTTTCCAGATGTTGCACCTTTGTAGTCTTCTGTAGCAAACTCTTGTCTTGCTGGAGTAGCGTGGCAGAGGACTTCTAAAGACAGATGCATTAGCTGCAGAGTGTTTGGTTAAATGTTGGAGCCAATCAGCTAGACTGACAGAAATCCCCTGGTCTTTGGGATGATTACTGTCAAGAGTAATGTTTTGTGTCTGTGTTTGGGGTAGATGGGGTTTTGGACCTCTGGAAAGGTCACTTTGGTTAGAGTAGTTTTGTAGGAGCACAGCACTGTGAACACAACACTAATACTTACTTGTATTGCAGAAGGGAAGGGAACCATGGGTGATGTTCTTCTGACCTATGAGGCACAGAACTTGTGTCTCTGTCCAGAAACAGATGGAGACTGTGTCTCAAGATTGGTTCGTGCTCTGGGATGAATTCTGAAACAGGGATGGCCTAGGTGGAGGCCAAATTGGCAGGTGTTATGCTTATACTGGTACTTCACACGCTGGAGCTGGTTAGGTCAGTTTTCTAGATGTTGTCTGTAGTGCTCTATGAGGTTTTTCTGGTTTTCTGACCCTAGACAGTAGGCTTAGAAGAATGAGAGCTTAAGATAAGGGGTTTTACAGAGCCTGGGAGATCTGAACGTAATTTTGACCACAAAATGAGAGAGGAGGAATTGCCTTCTCTGTATGGAGAATTAGGTGTGCTGTCACTTGGCCTGTTCCTGCACAAGCTCAGGTTCATGCTCTGGGTATGCCTAAACCCTTCGGAGTCTGAAAAAAGTGTCACGAGTGTGGAGTTTCTCTCTGTCCTGGTTTCATTCAGCTGGTGCTGCGGGGAATGGGGTTTGGCTGCTGCAACAAGTTGAAACTCTTAGCAGTCTGAGGTGTGGGGTTTACGGCATTGCTGCTGTTTTGGGCAAGTGCCTGTGTGCACACTCTGAACCTCCACCAAATGGAAGTTAGGTTATTTCAGTTGCACTGAGTACTGATGTAGCCTGCATTGGCAGCCTGGTGAAAGAATGTGTGTGGGAGTCACCAGGCAGTAGAAACGGGCTGTGTGTGAATCTGTGCTGTAGCTCAGCTCAAGGCGAATTGCGCAGGAAGCTTTGCTCTGAACCAGTCCGCCAAAGTCGGTGTCGAAACGTGAGGGGGGAGAGGGGAGGACAACTCCCAAAGCAGAGGTGTTTGTTGGCTGCCTGAATGGTGAGGCTCATTTCTGGCCCTTGGCGGGCTGTCTTTCTGGCGTTTCCAACACTGCTGTACCTCTGGGCTCGTGACCTGAAGGCTCGTGACTTACTGGTTTCTGCTGTGGCATCAGCGCTTGCCTGTTTTCTGAGCAAGGAGCTGCCTCAACTGCAAATTCAGCCATGGCACGTGGTGATTAAGGGGCAGGGAAGAGCAGGGGGTGCTGCAGTGTGCGCTACCCGCATGGGCTCGTCTGGTGAAGCCCATTTGTAATGCTGAGGAGCACTGGCTGGGGATCCTTGCTGATTTGCTGTTCCGATTCTCCTGCATTGGTCTAGTTTATAGTAAGAGATCTGTCAAGAGCACAGTACTTGCTGTTTCAGGACTTGAGTAGATGGGGCTGGCTGGCATGTCTCTAAGCCAGGTTGCACATCTTGGCTTTCTCAAGCTTCCTCTCTGGCCTGGCCAGATGGTTGGTAATGAAGTGCTTATGACTATGTCCTCAGAAGGAAGCGATGACTGAATCCAAAGCCATGCTTCTCAACCTTCCACTTACTTCTGCACATGATTAATGCTTCAGTGTCCCCTGGCATGCATGTTTTTCACGCTGAAGTTTCCAGTCTAATAGCTGCCTCTGTTCTCAGTCTTTGTGCTCATCAACCAGGTTCCTGGTTTGCATCAACCATATCCTAGTTCATGCATCAGCTGCATCCTGAACAGGATTTCTCTGCTAGAGTTGTGGGTCAGGCTCTGCCCAGGGGGTATTCTTCCTCACTCCTCTAGGCTCTGCTCCACATTCTCCTGCGGTTGCCGGTGTCTCTGTGGTCTCACTGATGCTCTAACCAAGGAGCTAGGTAATTGCTGTGTGTATAGTGGATATAGCAGGCTTACTACATTCCTAGCAGAAAGGGACTTATTCTACGTGTGAGAATTAAATTTGCCCTGAACATCCAAAGTATTCCTATAGCAGGCCAGTATGTCAGCAGACTTGCTTGAAGATGAAATTAGCTGTACCCTGTGGTGGAGGAAGCTGGTGGCGTTTGTTGCAAGTGCCACTGAGCCCATGAGGAAAGGGAATAAGCTGTCACTGATTGCACAACAAGTTAACAGCTTTAACTATCTTGCTTTTTTAAAAAAATAACCTCTACAGTGGCATGGTGTAGACTGTGCTGAATACCCCAGCTCTCATGTTGGATACGTGATTTCCACCCCACAGCCCCAAGAAGACAAATCCCTGAGTGGTTTTGTCTTCCTAGTCAGTTTGCCATTTTGTTTATTGTGTTTTAACTCCTGCCTACATCTGGCCTTGTTGACATTTGTGTTCATTTCCTTGATTTCCTTGGTGCCAGGAGAGCTCATGGCTTTTTCCTCTCCTCTAATCAGCACTACAACAGCTTCGTGGAGCTGGGAGTGAGATTTATCTCTTTAATAAGTATCATTGGGATCCCATTGTGGAATGATTCTAGCATTTTATGATTACAGATTGTTTTCCCCAGATGCTCTGGATAGGGTTTGTAGCAAAAGGAGGATGCTGGGAAACAGAATTGGGCTGGACTTTCCTGCCATAGGGATTTAATCTCCTACATGGACTATTTTTCTGTGAGCTTTTGTTCTTCAAAAGTAATCTCCAGCAACTGAGGCATCTGACGATGGTTTCCTCAGTGCTCAGTACAGCCTGGCTGTGAAGGGAAGGCTTGGAGACAGAGTAGACAAAGACTCTAGCTCTTAAGAGGTGTTTTTTGCATTCCTCAAAAAATACCAGTCCCTGGGAGCAGGAGCCTACACACTTGATCTTTCCTTGGTCTGAGGTGATGTGGAAGCACAGACTGTATTCTGTAGCTGCTGTCTGCTCTTGGCCAGCTGCCTATGTCCACTCTGATACTGGGGAGATTGTCATCATGTCAGCTGCCTGGGGTGTTACCAAACAGGTGAAGCAGGAAAGGCCACAGGAGTCTTTAACACCATGGTGAAATGCTTGGTTTATTGCAGTGCGAACTGAGGTTTTTATTCCTGCCCCTGTGGGACTGGCTGGACTGTCTCTGCAGCTGTGAGAAAACGCACTGCCTCTTTGACTCCTCTTTTTTCCCCACCTGTATGGCTAGGTAGGAGCTGCTTCTCCAAGGCTTGGACACATGCAAGTCTGTGAGGGATACCTGTGGGATTGGCCAAGATTTTCTTGACAGAGTTCAGTGCCTTTGTTTGGCGCTTCACCGAAAGCTGCGGAAGTAAGATGTTGGGCTTCCTCTGGAACAAAACTCATCTTCTGTCCTAGCACATGTGCACTGTGTGATGCATCTACCCAGCATGCTTTCTCTTTGTGTTGTTGTTTCCCTTGTGCACCAAAGCTGCTGCTTCTTTCTCTTGCAGGTGAAGGTCCAGAATATGAAGCCAGTGGTGAGGATGCCCTGAGTAGGATCCAAAGGCTGATGGCAGAAGGTGGCATGACTGCTGTGGTCCAGCAGGAGCAGAG